TAATATATTCACATAATAAATAATAATAATTTATTACTTTAAATTATTTTACCGCAATTATTAGTTTGGTGATTAAAAGTTGTTTTAACAGCGGATTTACCTCGTTAGATTATCTTGATTATTCCCATTTAATTCGGCGGTACAAGACAGTTCTTTGTTTTTCTTCGTGCGTTAATATTTGAAGTAAAAACGTTATCCCGATCGCTAGTCGGCAAAACGCGTCCACGTTTAATTGAATTATCTCATTTCTGTTTCTGTGGGTATGTGTTATATTTAACTATCAGCAAGATTACATGGTAATTCTCATTAAGATTCGTCTAACGTCGATCGCAACCACTGGCAAGTAGTACGAGCATACAAATGGACCAAGTCAGACGCCCGATGTGTTATGCCACGCGCGGAAATTACTACTGTGAAATGCTCTAATGCATGCAATCTTGTAATTGTGTATTTTGAATAAAACATATTCCATCAGAAAATGGTAGAAATAATATTTTGAAAATAACATCATATTTTATAATTAAAAACTCTACAATTTCTTAAAAATAATACAAAAACAGAGGATTTCGTGCCTAACGCTAGTTGTTAATTGCTTATATTACAATCTTCTTCTTATTAAATAGATGTATTAACAATCTTCATGTTGATTAACTTAATTAAAAACATTTCGATCAATATTTGATCATTCTCAGTAATTAAAATATAGTTGTAGAATATAATTTCTGTTTGAGATCATGCTATAAAATATGGAAACAATCAAGTGCGTCAAACAATATAAAAATTATAAATTAAACAGAAAGGAATCGAGAAACATACCTCAAACAGAAATTATATTTTACAACCATGTTTTAATTACTGTGGATGATCAAATATTGATCAAAATGTTTAATTAAGTTAATCAATATCAAAATTGTTAACATATGCATTTAATAAGAAGAAGATTGTAATATAAGCAATTAATTATTTCATACTTTTTTCCGTTATTGATAATTTCTTAAAAGATATTATGAAATTTATATAAGCATTATGTGAAAAATTGATTCTTTGAGAATCATATTGAAAGACGAAAAGTCTTGAGAATCATATTGAAAGACGAAACAAAATCAGATTGTATTGGTATATTTTATATCTTTCATGCGTCTATCTTCAAAGTAAATTCTTGAATAGAAAAACAATTTATTTTTTTGGATAAATGGCTTAGATAGATTTTGGATAATATAGATAAATACTTACAAATTGTTAAAATATAATTACGCATTTCTTGGTCATTTTATGAAAGAATAATCTATAATAATCTTCCAAACATCATTTAATTAATTATCAAATTTCCTATATATCTATCTTTGACGCTTGACAAAAGATTTTCGATGTTGAAATTAAATTAATAAAAGTAAACAAATTAAAATTAAACATTAATTTAAAATTGTCCAAAAAATAAAAAATCCATTGTTCTTGAACACCATTTAACAATTCGTCGAATGTAAATCCAATTCTTTAGAAAGTGTTTCGATAATTGCTTTTATAATTGAAAATACATTTTCTCCCGTTACCGTTTTTCGGAACGATGTCGGTTGTTCTAGTTACAAGATATCGATTTGTTGCACAATGTTAGCACAGCGCGACCGCCTCCTTGGCGGATTAAAAGGAGAAATACCGCAATTTCTCCTCGAAAAGATGTTGCTTCTTAATTAAAACGTCGCGGTCGAGGGACGCGGGAGGACGTAGGACGAAAGGAACAGGAGCGGCGAGGTTAACCAATGCAATATGGCAGTAGAGGAGAAGCCGGAGTCGACCGGATGACGGGGTCCGGGGTCACGGATGGGCGGCGGCAGGACTGGTTTCGGACCAGTCAAGAGAAGAAGAGGAACTCACTGCTCTCTGCTCTATCTGTCCGAGCTTTACGCGCCGCGCTATACCGGGTGGCAAGGTCCGAAACAAGCCTGCGGTCGGTAGACCGCCCACGACCGGATCATGGAAGGATCTCACTAACAAGGATCATTGTCCAAACGTAAATGATCCTTGAGGCGTGAATGAGAATGTTCTTGACGAATTTAATTTTCAAAAATTTTTTCATTTTTTTGTAAGAAATGTAAGAAATTTGACAACTTTTCTATTAGCAACGAATCGTTATGGAATTATGCGACTGATTATTGAAAGATTATCACGGAATTTATTTGTCTATCAATTCGAGTACTGCGTGTCAAAATACTGAAAGTTTATGATCCCGATGTTGAGCGCACAACATCGAAAATTATAATTGTGATCGACGAGCCGTGGCTCACGGGAACGGACAAGTCGAAATGCGTCGAAAACGCCGCTCGCTTTCCGGTTCATGGCGTCTCTCATCTTGAAATGTACCGTTGAAGCACGCAGAAGCTCAGGCAAACCCGGAGGACGGACAAGCCCGGTCAAACTCAAAAGGACGTTGACCGATGGACATGACCAAGACAGCGATTCTGGCCAGAATTGCAAAGCATTGCAATTGCCAAGCATTTTCGTCTTCACAATGACAAGTCAGAAAAAAGAAACTAACTGTAACGAAAATTGCGGAAAGCACTTCTCGAAATCAGGTGTTTAACGTCCGACAAATGCGCGCAATTGGTCCTGACGAGTACCGTGCAAAATACTAGGAATCTCAACTCTCAGAGAATATTTGCAGAAAACAAATATAAAGGATATTTATTACAAAAATTAATGAATAAGTCTCATTCGATAAGATTGTCAATTTCAAGTATATCGACAAAATTATTTTAAATTTATTTTAAGAAAATTATATTTACTATATAATTGTATATTATAAAACTATGTTTGATGCTATGAATCACAATTAATTAAATTATATAACCAAAATATGAAAGGTAATTTTCACTTGTGATTCGAAATGCAATGTCGTCGCGATTCTCCTCTCTCCGTCACATTCCAATTACATTATCTTGCATCGAGAGGCTATTTTTTGTCATTTTTGCCCGCGAGTGTCGAAGACAGCAATTTCAAGAAGTAACTCTATCTCGTCGCGACAGACGAGAGATAAGAAAAAGGAAAGATGTCACCGTGTGATGAGACAGTAAAGATCTTAATAATGAGAAAACGAGAAAAATTACTATTCGCAACGATGTGCCTCGGTCAGGCAGTGCATAATGATTCGCTGTACTCGTGTTGCATTCGCGTTGCATTAGTTGCGCCAGAGACTTTTTTCAACGAGAGCGGAAGCGAAGGGTGAACGCGGCAAACTCTCCTTCGCATCGTGATTCGAGTGGCATCCTTCGCGATGGACAAGGAGGGAGAGGAGGGACAAATGCAACGGAAACTGTTATGACAAATTATCTTCGAAAACAACCGGTTGGAAGAGAAACAAAAGTGATGACACGCCAAATGATGAATTAACATAGCTACCTTTTTTGCGCCTGTCCATCACGTCTTCCACGGCGGCGTGGCTAATAACGAAAAGTCACAAGATGCATTCGGCTGTAGCGGAATGCATTCGTAAGAAAATTAACTCGATCACCGCAGAAATAAAAATTCACTTGGCGTATTTCATTTAATTTTAAATTGAACTTTTTATTTTCATACATCGAAATGCAGAATTTTATTTTGTTTCCAACTACAATTAGAAATTTGCAGACATTGCGGTTTGTTAGACATTTGTTGTGCCTTTTGTGACGCAAACACACTTGTGGTTGCTAGAAGAATGATTCGATCGGTGGCGAATATTTATGCGCACGCGGCGGGTCGTAAAGTATTTTCTAATATCGTTCAGGAAGGATGTATTGCGCGATATGCAAAGAGAGAAGCGTGAGTAACGAATTTAACGCGCCGTTGTCTCTCGCTTCTCTCCTGTTTTCTATCGTTCTCGTGCCGATTCCTCTCTGCCGACGATTTTACTTCGTCGAGTGCCGCATCGAGTCGCGATATAAGCAAGATCAATCATGCGAAAAAACAATTCTTTCGATCGTCATTCTTTTCACGTTTAATGAAAAGCCCGTGATTGTCTATCACGATTATTTGTCAAACATATTTTTGATACGATAAATATATCCAAACAAAACATTAACATACGTAAGAGGAAAGATGTATTGCACACAAATTCAACATTATTTCTCATAATATTTATCTCTTGAATAAATCATGTCATAATATAGATTATATCGTTCAAAATAAGTCACAAAAGATTACCTCGGCACACTTTTCCGTGAAAAAAGAAAAGAAAACAGTGACAGATCGATGAAGAGTAAAAAATAAATAAATGAGACGCTGAAAAACGAGTGAACGGACATTTTTCAGAAGGTGGGACCAGGGCGACAGGGGGAGAGAATGGGTAATTCGGCAAGCCAGACAATGCAAGGGCGATATAGGAGCGTCGAGATCCCGGGATGATCCCGAGGGATGAATAGAAACGATCCTGTTTATCCTGGGATCTCCCACCACCTCGGCTCTCTCTCCCCGACGACGACGGAGGCAATATGCTACTCGTGGATTTTTATAAGCGCCGACTCACCTCCCCCCTTCGCCTCGCCATTCTCATGTTGTTCCTTACATTCAACCCCCATTCTTCCCTTCACCTCGTTCGCTATGCCACCTTCTTATCCCACCTGGCAGACTATCTCGGAATCTCGACCTCAACGACTTCTGAGAGGTCGTTTTGAGACTGGACTTACACCTTCGTCGCCCTGGGAGCCCGAACTTCGAACTTTCTCACCCCTCCATATCTCCCTCCCTTCTTTATGGGTTTTGTTTCCTGGCGCTGTATCTTAATTAATCGAGGGGATCTACTAGTTTTACTCGTCTGCATTGCGCTTTCATTTCATTCCTTTAATTGGAACGTGACAAAGCATACAATTTTGTATTAAATATTGTAGTGTGAAATGTAAAAAAATACACCTTAAAGTATAGTGCTCCAAATTTTAAGAATGTAAGACGATATATCTCTCCGCTTACAAAAAATTCTTGTTCGTGTTTCTACGTGTAAAAAAAAAAATATATTTCAAGTCATTGACACTCACCTCGTAGGATCTGATAAAGGAAGACCTTGATGTGGTCCGGGCTGAGATGCTGCGGGCTGACGATGATCTTGTGCAGGTCGCTCTGGAGTAGCTCGGTGATCACGTATCTGTATCGCGCGACTCGTTAAGGAATTTATCGGTTATGATCGCTCGTATTATGTTAAGTCGTGTCGCGCGCGCGCATGCATGCGCTGGCGACTAGCAATTAGCAGGTGATTCCCCTTCTCGGATCGTTACGTCGCACCTGTAGAACAGGCCGACCAATTTCGCGTGTGATGACTTGATTTAATCCATTCAACAATTCACCAGTTGCATTTTTGACATGAAACTGCAGATTTACATCGTTAGGTTTTAAACCTAAATTTCGTTAGAATTTATAATTGCTGTTTGAAAGAACAAAAATCGCGAAAATCAAATTTCGATATTTATTCAATTTATTATGTAGAAATTAATTTTAATGTAGAGATAAAATATGAAATAGTTTCTGCGCTGCTTTCAGAACATTAATTAGGATACTAATTAACACGTTAAATTTAACCGGCTTGTTGTTATTTTATCTCGCGTTTGATAATTGTTTATCACAAATATTACGGGTAAAATTTACTTTATTATTATACCAGATATATTATTTATTGAATAATTTTAATATTAAACACATTCTCGTATATTTTATATTGCTCAAACAATACTTCCATTGCGTTTAACAGTTGCAGCTATCGTAGATAAAATAATGATCGGTTAATTCTTTCCAAAACGGGAGAAACAACAGCCGCCGCGAATAATATAGCCGCCACCGAGTTATACTAATCCATCAACGTCTTGAATAAAAAGGCGATCACGCTGTAACGCGATGTAAAATAACACGCGTCCGGCGATCGCATCGTTGCGAACCGCATCCCGTAGCGCCTCTCTTTCCGTGTACGCGATCGAGAGTTAATATTTTCGCGGCGATTGATTTATAGCATCTACAAATACATTTGGCGAATGACCTGGCGCACGACGGATTGTTCGGGATAACATAATAGATAATAAATATCAATATGCAATCTCGGTGCTTGCTGCAAACAACTTATAAAGAATACAATTATCGATGTCATAACGCTAAAAGTTTGCGTGTTGCACAGAACGGTACGGAGAATACAGAAATAAATAATATCTAGTCAAAAAAGTCAGTATTGAAATTAATAAAAAATCGCAATATTAAAAACCAGAAATCAAAGATCGGCGTTTATCTGTTCATTTGTTTTATGTTTCTATTTTAAGAGTTCTTTTCCTCCGCGTAAAAAACCAATATTGATATAAAAAATTAAATTACTTTGATTTGTACGCGACATTGCAATTGCAAACGTGCTCGTTTAATCTCTTTATTGTTATTAATCTTTTTTGGATGTACAAAACGTGTGCAAAATTAAATCACCTTTTTTCATACATGATTCTATTACAGCTTTCGTATTGTTTCGCCGTATAAAATTTCGAAGACGCAATCTCGAATCGAGAGCGCCATGTCAAGGTAGGGCGCGACGTGTATCGCATGACATAATTTGATTTCAAAAACTTGCTCTTGCGCGAACAAGCGCGCTAAATGTTCGAGGGAACGCGAGAGAACCGAGAGAACGAACGAAATAGTATAATGGCGGAATGAGGTCGACCGGGTAGGTTGGAATGCAGGTAGAGGCTGCTCTGGCGCGAACCTGGCGCGGTATGCAAGTCGAGAGAGAAAAAGAGAGAGAGGGAGAGAAACTGTGAGAACTCAGACTGGTCCCGAGAGAAAATCTGGAACCAAGATTTGAAACTGTTGTAATTTTATTTCTCAATATTGCAGACATGCGATAATTACCCTCGTGTTTTTCACGGAAAAAAATAGATGTAACATCGATTTTACATCCATTTGCCGGAGTAGATTTGTTGTTTGGAATTGTTTGTTCGAATTGTTACACCTAACCAAGCGCAGCCAGGCCGAAACCTCCGATCCATCGATCACGACGAAAGAGAACAAGCAGATCGGCTAGTTCCTTTGAGTTATCAGTGTTCGACGTTTCGATTTCACGATGCGAAGTCGGGTAAACATTGCGCGGCCTATAGTGCTCGTGACGTATAATTACTGTTTGATAATTGAAGCGTTGAGAATAGAGGGTGTATCGGAACTACCAAAAGCCATAAATAATAGCGAACGGATAAGATAGACAGAATAAAGTTTGTTTTTATTTGTACATTGATATTTTTCTAATTACGAATAAAATCGTTTTTATTACGTTTTATGTAATAATAAAATAGTATATATGAATGCAAAAAAAATAAATCTCAATAAAATGTTACCTATAAAACGTTAAATATAAAATTAATCTGAATGGAATTTCATGAAATAAACTTTGTAATTGAAAGTAGAAAGTAAAACGGTACTCATTATCAGCTTTTAGGCAGATTTTATGTAATTGAATTTAAATCCAATATGAAATTGGATTGAAAGATACAAACAATTTTGTATGCTCAATAGTATAAATTTTAAAAATCCCTATTGCTGGCAAAATATTATTTCGAAAATCGAAAGATTTTGTTAAATGTTATAAAAATAACGATTTATATTGTTTACTGCAATTTTTATTTGAAGGAACAAAGTGTTATCTTTCATATAGAAAAACAAATCCATAACTATAACCTAAACCAATTTATTTCAACTAATATTTGATCTCAAATTGAACTTTACGATTATGGGAATACGATATCTCTCATCGTAACGTCTCTATTACTATTTCAGAACATGATAGATGGCTGTGCATGCCTTTCGACGTAAACAGCTGCGAGATCTCGACGAGGAAATCGTATGAATCGCCGAGAAGGGTAAGTTTTGATTCTGTGCTTTTCATCAATTTTTATCCTGATCTTTTTACAGCTTGTTGAAAGAAAAAATAAATTTCTATCATAATTATTTACAATTAACAAAAGTATTTAACAAACTTAAACGAAAATATTCAGTACACATTTTTAGAAAAGATAAATTCAATTTTTCTTTCACAAATTTTCCTTCATTTATTATTCGCGATCTTCTCCTTTATCTAAAAATATAAGATTTCCGTGTCGAATAATTACAGCAAAGAAACATCTTTTTTGCGCCATAAAAAGTAGTAGGAATGCAATAGCTACAGTCGACTTTGCGCGCCGGAGAATTTTCCAGAATTCTAAAAATCAGGTTATTCGAAGAAGATAATGTTTTCTTTCCTCTCCAAACAGAGATTTTAAAACAGGTTCTCTGACGCTTAATCTTTTCTTCGGACTCCAAAATAATCAGTGTTTCGACATTTCCGCTGAGAAAAAGATCGACATTCTGAATTTGCCAAGAGAATCTACCGTTCGAAAAATAAAAAAATATCTTTATAAAAACACATTAGTAAACAGTTTGATAGTGTACAAGTTAACGTTGAAAAGTATGAAAATTGAGACAAATGAGATACGTCTTTTTCCGAAAGCTCTCATTGTCATCGGCTATCTCGTCATTGTGTAGTACGCTTAAGGCACCGCCGCACGATTGGCGGATCGATGCGTGCCTGCCTGCCTGCCTCCTGGTAGGCACGTCGACCGGTTCCTGGACAAAGCGAGAGTTGCCCCTAGCATCCTCTCTCCCAGCTCTCTGCTCCGCGCCACACCGAGTGAGCGAGCGCAAAGGGAATTGAGTATCCTGCCGTTTTCTCCCGTCTTCCTTTCCCTTCCCATCTTTCTTCCTTTCATCTTCGTTCCCCCCATCGCTCTCTATCTCATCCGGTTCAAGGAAGAAGAACCTGGAAGACCTGAGTCCTGAGACCTGAGACACTCCGACTCGCTAGAAGTCCCACATTTTGCAAAAAAACCGGCGAAACTCGTATTGGATGATCACGGACGATGAAAGGATGTCCTACTTTTACTGTGATAATTTTTAACAATCCAGTTGAAAATAATCCACTTAAAAATTAATCTTTCTTCAATAAAGGTGTATAAAACACAGATTTTGTGGTTGATCGCAACCTTCCAGTCTTCAACATTGCACATATTCGTATCTAGGTCGTAAATTAAAATCTAATTCGGTCGAGAGTGTCGGATACATCTCTTTAAAGTTTTCATTATAAATTCCGAAGATGAATATTGATGGCGTTTCTTCAAATTCTTCGTTGGTCAGACTAGATAACAAAGAAGTTGACTAACAACGACAACGAGAATGATGATGATGGCGATGATGGAGGCTAGACTCCAAGGTGTTCGAGCAAGGCCGATCCGGCTCGTCCGACCGGTCAACCGAGTTCGAACTCGACTCGTGCGAACGACTTCGAGAAGCCGAAAGAGAGAAAGAGAATTCTCGACGATTCTGCTCTCCCGCGTTGTATCATTGCGCGAGACACGAAAAAAAAGAGACACGAATTTAAACCGTATCGATTTGGGAAGATATCCGCGCCAGAGTTTCCAATTTCAAATTGCTAATGACTTGGCATGCGTTAATTAATATCTCAATCAATCTTTCAAAATAGTTTAATAAGATCTTGATGTGATGTGCCAATTTATATAAATAGCTCGTGCTCGTGAAATATCTTAAATTCGTTTGAACGCAGATTTTATTGTGATATAATTATTTGAGTCGTGTGTGTGTGTGTGTGTGTGTGTGTGTGTGTGTGTGTGTGTGTGTGTGTGTGTGTGTGTGTGTGGGTGTGTGTGTGTGTGTGTGTGTGTGTGTTGCTTACTCACACAAGTTTATATCATTATCTACTATCTTGACTGATAATGTTTAGTATGATTTGGAGAGAACAGTTGTTGCATAAATGCAACGAACTGCAGTGAACGATTAATTATACCCGTGACACTCCGTACTCCGTTTAAAAACCGGGAGAAGTGCATACAGAATCAGTTCCCGCGACGACTTTTCCTTCAGAGTTTCCCCCCTGGGAGTCACGTGCTTGCTCCCGATTTTGCATACATTTAAATACTTTCGCGATGAATCTCGTCGAGAATCCACGACGCAGACACCCGGTGTAAATTTTAAGTCACGGCATCTATTTAGCTTCCAAGCAAAACGTGGATTCTTCGCGGCGAGATAAATTATTTCGCGTGTCGCTTTCAATCGCAATATTGAGTTTCGGGACTCACA